TGAGATTTGATGAGACAGGTGGTTTTGAAGGAGTGCTAGCCTTCCAAGTCATCAGAAAGGCCTTCTGAGTCATCAGGAAATTTCCAGAATGGTCTTTATGTTTTGTGTAATATTCCAACTTAGTCAACTGGATGATTTGCTAGAACCCTCCAGCCATTCTGGGGAAAGAAGAGTTTACTCCCTTCTCGATCATCTCAAGAGCCACAGGGCACGCATAGCCCAAGGAAAGTAGCAAACACGCCCCAGCTCTAGCCTTTCTCACCTGCGACACAGCCAGTTGGCACAAGTGGAAAATCAGGCACACTGGCGTGCGTACGGATTTTAGCCCCAGCAGATAAGCATACCAAGTGTGTCATTAAAGCCGTCCAGGGCGGTCCCCATGGGGATCCTGTGTTTGTTGTGAGTCACTAAGGGCTCTAAACACTCCAGAGAGGATGGCAAGCCGTGGTTCCAAGGTGTGTGCGTGCAGGTGTGTGCAGCTATGTTGTATGAATTTACTCTCTGTAAACGCGTTTCGTGTTGAGCACATCAGATGAGTGCCTGTCCAGGAGGGGAAGAGTCAGGATTGCCTCCTGTTCACACAGACCACCCCTTCCGTTCCCCTTGGGATAGCCACCCTGAAGGTGAGGACTTCAGGCTTTCTCTTGTCTGCTGTTTGGATGCCTTCAAGAGAAGCCAGTTAGAAGACGCTGATTGTGGCAGCTCCTCAGAGCCCTCACCAAATGGCATTAGCCCAGCAGGTGCTGTCGCAGCCCCAAATTTGGAAGAAATTAACAGCCAGAAAGGTATGACAGGTATGTGGGTCCCGCCTGGTGTCCTGGCCCTGAACTGGGTGACGCTGAGCCTGGGCTAAGGAGAAGGGGAGTTGGCGGATTCAGTGGCGGCGAACCTCTGATTGCGTCGTGCTGGGTGTTGGGGACCTCTTCGGGAACACCCACCACCCGGTGGCCAATCTGCAGGTGCTGACAGCTTCGTCTTTTGTCGCCGCCCGGGTTTGGAGGCTGGCTTGGTCTCCCAACTAGTTTGGGCTGTAACTTTATCACAGGCATTGTGTTCAGTACCTTTTAATTGTACAGAAGCTTCAGAAAACTCTCCCCGGGGGCCTGGAGAGAAGTAAGAACAACAGCTGCTAGTTCCTGTATGCTTTATTCCCTCACCTTACGGCTCAGCCTTGCCGGTGCACTCCTAACTGAAGTCCTATGTTCCCCGGGGCAGGGAAGAATCCGTATTTCTTTTGGGGTAAGGTCCTATTAATGATGAAGTGTCACTTACTGAGGGCCGCCCAGGAGCCGAACACTTTGTTACCTGCGTGCCTGTTCATCTCTCCCGGCCCCTGTAAGGCAGCTGGCGTTCTCCCCATCTTACTGGACAGACAGTTGAGGCTTAAAGAGGCTACACAGGTTATAGTAAGCGACTTTTCCAAGCTGCCGTGCTGGCTGCCTGCCCCACTGCTTCTTCCTTGTGGTTTCATTCATCAGCTGACGATTCCCCGACAGCCAGTGGGGCACCAGGCAGAGGCTGTGATGCTCAGACTCATGGGATTTTCTCATCTTTGGCACGCTGTCATCCAGTCAGCCAGGGACAGTTGGGAGGGAGGGCCCCTGGGGCCCAGAGCTGCTCCCTTGGCTCCGGAAGACTTACCGCATGCCTCTGGCCCAACCGGAATCCAGAGAGGCTGGCTGGCCCATGATGGAAGATTCGACCCTGGCCATTTGGGAACCTGGAATGCAGAGCCCTGAGAGGGAAACCTCGGCAGGGATGGGGTCAATTCAGTCCTTCTCCAAAGTGAGGGAACTGAGGCCCAGAGCGAGGAAGGGACCATACTGCAAGGTGTCACATGGAGTAGTTTCCAGGGTCAAATGTGGAAACTTACAAAGGCACTTGGATGTCTTGGCAAAGCTGGACGTTCTCTCTCTTCAGCCTCTTCCCTAGCTCCTTCCTGCCTTTTGAAGGGGGGTGGGGCTCAGGCTTTGGGGATCACAGCAGTCTGGGGTGATTGCTAGTGTGCAAATTCTCAGGCTCCACCTTGAGGTTTTGACTCTGTAGGTCTGGGGAAGGGCCCGGGAATCTGTATTTTTATCAAGTGCCCTGGGTGATTTTTTTTTTTTTTTGCGGTACGCGGGCCTCTCACGGTTGCGGCCTCTCCCGTTGCGGAGCACAGGCTCCGGACGCGCAGGCTCAGCGGCCATGGCTCACGGGCCCAGCCGCTCCACAGCATGTGGGATCCTCCCAGACCGGGGCACGAACCTGCGTCCCCTGCATCGGCAGGCGGACTCTCAACCGCTGCGCCACCAAGGAAGCCTGCCCTGGGTGATTTTGATGCAGGGTTTCCACAGGTCAGAGTTTGAGAACCTCTGCTATTCATCTTTCTGGGGCTGGTTGATTTTAGAGTAAGGAACAAGGGAGGCCACATACTCTGGCTTTTACCCCCTGCGCCCTGACATAATCCTTAGCAGCGTCCTTTTCCCTCCCACAGGTGACCCAAAGTGGAGACGAGGTGCATGGACATCCTAGTTAAATCCCACTTCTTCCTTTTCTAATCCAATTCTCCGCCCCCATCTCTCCCTGCCCTGCTCACCCCCCCACCCCACTCATATTCTCAGAATCTATTAGAGGCACATGCATTTCTGTCTTGTGCTCTCACTGTGCTGTGGCAAGAAAGCAGCCCATGTCAGGCTTTGTCTTTGCTCGGATGTCCTGCTCTGCGCCCCAGGCCGCCGCTAGCATCCACTCACCCTTTCACTCAATCAGTATTCCTTCTTGAGCTCCTCGGAGGGGCCAGGTCCTGGGCTGGCAGTGCTGAGGAGTCGCAGGAGACCACGCCCTTGACCGTCCTGATTCTTCAGACTTGGTACCAAACCCACCAGCCCAAGCCGCCCCCTCCCTACCCCACTTGGACCCCTTTTGTTGGTGGTTTGAATGCTGTGCCCATGGGAGACGTGGTCAGCTGAGTGGCCAGTCTCTGCTTCCTCTTGGCATCTCTCGCCGTGTCCACGGTACAGCTGGGAGCCACGGGGACTGTTTCCGTCACTTTATGTACCCTGCGGACTTTCTCAGCTCCCCTTGGTGGGGAGCCCAGGGGCCTGGGTGGCTGACCAGAAAGGAGACTTCCATCCCTGGCATTCCCTGTGGGCTCTGGAGTGGACGTGGATGCCCACACCCCCCACTCCAAGCTGGACTGCTTTCTTCAGTGTGGATAGAAACGGCCGCCCTGGGTGGAGTCTTTCCTCTCTTTTGTACCCTGGGAGAGACCGGGGGAACCCCTTTTTACAGAAGGGGAAATGGAGGCACAGTGTGATCTCTTTGGGCCAGAGCTGTCTGATAGAAGTCTCTGCCTGTGCTGTCCTATATGGTAGCCATTGGATTTAAAATGTAGCTAGTATGACCACAAAACTGAATCTCAGATTTGATTTGAAAGGCCACGTGTGGCCAGTGGCTACTGTATCAGATGGTGCAGCCGGCCCTGAGTCAGGGCTTGATACCACAGATGTGTCTGTGGCCCATCACAGCTCATGAAGCCTGTGGTGTGTTTTTCCACTGTGCTCGTCTAAGGCTGCCGTGCTTCTCCATGTGGTCTCTGGACTGCCTGCGTCAAAATCACTCAGAGCTTGTGTGGTTTTTAAGTTCCTGGACCCTCTACCGGACCTGGACAGTCAAATATCTGCAGTGGTCCCAGGAATCTGCACTTTAAACGCGTCACCTCCACCCCCAGGTGATTCTGATCTTCTCTGAAGTTTGAGAACCACGGGCTCTAGCACATTCCATCTCTACTCCTGGCGGTCTCCCCAGCCTCCAGTAGCGCCTCGGTACCCTTTTGCTTTTGTCCCCCACCCCAGCCCCTACCACCCCACTTCATGCACCAGGCCAGGGGCTCTGAAGTTAGGGTGCCAAGACCAGCAAATCAGCCTCACCTGAGAACTTGTGAGGAACGCAAATTCTCAGCCTGCCCCACACCTGCAGAATCAGAAACTGGGGGTGATCCCCGCCATCAGGGTCTTAACAGACCCCTCAAGGCGATGCTGATGCCGCTTCAGCTTGGAGCCAATCGCTGCGCAAGACTGCTCTGGGAGGCCCCTTCTACTTAAATTTTCCCCCAAGTCTCTTCTGTCTTCTCCTCCTCTCCCCCTCCCCTTCCCTCTTCCCCCTTCCCTCTGTACCCTGGCCTGTCCTCTCCCCAGCTACCAGGAGCTGCCGAGACCCTTCCACACCCAGGGTCTGCTGGGAGCGTGGCGAGATGATCCCTCTGCCTTTCATAAGGGCCAACGGGGATCCGGGCCTTACCCAAGGGGTGGCCATCACGGGGATGTTACGGGGAGGCAAGCAGAGCGGTGGCCGGCAGCACCCTCACCCCCGTCCTCTCTCCCAGCATCCCAGGTGGTGGCCGCCTGCCCACCCTGTGCCAGAAGAGCAGAGGGCCAGATGGGCCCATTTCCCTTGGGCCCCCTCTTGGGGCAGGGCCCCTGCTGCTTCCCCTGGCATCCATCAGCCCGGAGGAAGTTGGCACGGCTCACAGCTGTGCTCGACAGACAGCACTTGTCTATTTCCTGTCTTCCCAGTGTTTACAGAAAGCAGGGGAGCTGGAGGCCAGATCAGACGTGACCGTGCTACTTATCCGCTGTGGGACCTTCCTCGTGCAGGTCGTTCCCCTCTAAACCCCAGTTTCCTATTCCATGAAATGAGATCTGTAGTGCCAGCCCGGCTTAGCTCCCAGATTTGTGGTTGCTTTTTACCCGAGCCCTTGGATGTAGATGTGCTTTGCACACTCGGAGGCACTTTACAAAGGTGGTTGGTACCACCTCAGTGCTGGCGAGGGCGGACCTGTGCCTCGGGGAGCCGACTCTCCTGGTTAGCTTGGAACTTTCCTGGTTTCAGCACTGAAAGTCCCACATCCTGGGAAACCCCACAGTCCCAGGCAAACCAGGACAGTTGGTCTCCCTAGCTGTACCCCAGTGGCTTCCAGACACTCAGCTTTGCCAGCCACACTCCGCTGCTTTTGCCATATGGAAAGTGATCCCTTCCCCGACCCTGCCCTCCCAGAAGTTAAGGCATCACCTACCTGACTCCTGACCCCCTCGACCTTTGCTGATCGCATGGACCTTATGGCCCTGCCCTCACTTGCAGCTCACTTACGTCTCTGGGCATCGACCGATGGCCTGGATGACCCACCACCCAGATTCCAGCTGAGCATGTCTTTATTAAATCACATCTGCCATTCGTTTACTTATTTGCTCACTGGATAAATACTCATCAGACCCCGACTGGGTGCCTGGTGCGGACAGGCTGAGCCACGCCAGCTCTGCCCTCATGGCGCTTACATTCTGGAGGGGTTTTCTGCCTAGAACGCCTAACTGGAACCAGAAGGATGCCCTTCCTCAACCTCTCCCTGGATCCAACAAAGCTCCTGGTTCGTCCACCTGGCAGGTGTTGAGTACCTGCTCGGCCTGGGGGTGGTGCTGGGAGCCGCGAACAATGTCGGCCGCTTTCCTAGCTCCCGTTAAGGGGCTCAGGGTCTCCTGACTGTCCCATGAACCGGCCAGCTCGTTCCCACCCCTCAACTCTTCTTCTCAAAGTCCAAATTCCATCCTGTCCTGGCCCCATGCCCCCTTCTGCACAGCCTTTCCTGCTCATTCCAGCCCCTCTGTGCACAGTCCTGCCTTGCCGTGGGCGCGTCATCTGGAGACCAGGTCCTGCAGGAACATTTCTTGAGCGTTAGGTGGGGCCTTCCTCCTGAACTGGACTCGCGGAGGGGGCGGGGGCCACAGGGCGCCTACGCATCTGCCTCCCTCCGTATGCCTGGAGCACACAGTAGGCTTTCAGGAAACGCTCCGAACGGGAGGAAACACACAGATGTGAATTTCTCAGCTGGAAGAACCTTAGGAGACATCGAATCTGGCAGATGTATTGGCGCACCTTTGGAGGAGCCTCACCTGGCAGGTAGGGCAGCACCTGGAGGACACCTGCAGCCCCACCAGTAATTGTTGGGGTTTGGAGGGGTCAGTAAATATATCCCTCTTTCCTTCTGGAATTTGGGACCCGCCAAAAGATAGAGACAGAAGTGGGACAGATAGAGCACGTGGCTTGGGTGCTGCTGGCCCCGCTCCCCTGCACGGGACCCCGTTCACAGGCCCGGCAGCTACAGGCCCGGATCCAATGACCTAAGATAATGAGTCCATTGGGTTTTACTCCTGGCCCTCGTCCTTTGTGTCACCTGGTCATTGTATCTCCATAAGCAAGTGGACAGTTTACCTTTCAGTTTCCAGAATCTTTGAGCGTGGTAGAGCCCCCGAAGTTCTTTTGTTCATTTATTCTGCAAATAATTATGGTGCACTTGTCTGGACGAGAATCCTTCTTAAGTATCAGGGATATAGTCGTAGATAAAACAGTCCTGCCCAAAACATGGTCCTCCCCTCGTCATGCTTAAAGTCAAGGACATTTTCAGAAAATTAGACACCAGAAACTCTTTCTGTGTTTCCATTGTCATTGAAAACTTCCTGAAATGCCCTTTTGCATTCAGGGAGCCTGGACAACTCCCTTTTTGGAAGTTAGGCTTCTGCAGACCTTTCGGGTCCTAACTCAGAAGCTGAGCATCTTAGGACAGGTGGTTGTACTTGACCCTACAACTCCCACTGCTCACATGTAAGAAAATAAGAAGCCATTGCGTCAGGGAGTCTCTTCATTGTTTGCTTATTTGTCCTCCAACCTAAGCCAGAATCCTAGTTAACTGGGCCTTGCAGCTCGCTGGGACCTGGCTAGAGGAGGTTTGATTGTGTGTTTGGGCAGCTGCAGGAGTGTTTGAAATGACCAGCAGCTCCTCTCCCTTCTCTTCCTGCTGGCCTCTTGGTGTCGGCATCAGTGAGTTCCCCCAAAGGCCATGTGTCCCTGTGTGACCATCTCCCCAAGGTGACTGGGCTTCTGTCTGCGGCCAACCCTGATGACCATGGGCCAGAGCCCCACCCTCTTGCTGTCACCAAGCCAGTTCCTCCCTCCTGCTTACTGGGCTGACTTGCTGGTTCTGTTCTCTGGGTTCTTTTCAGAGACTTACTGTTTGCCAGGTGGACAAACCAGTGTTCTGAGTAGTCGTGCACTTAGAGGCACCCTAGCTTCTCCCCCACTCCCATGTCACTGAAACACTGTAAGGTTCTCGTCACTTACGTGCACTCGTGAAAATCACGCAGGGGAGCCTGATCTAAGCACTCCTGCTTTGCAGGGTTGCCTGCATTAAGCAACCAAGATAAATTAGGTACATTAATCACCTCATTTTCCAGATGGGGTAACTGAGGCACAGGGAGGTTAAGAAACTTGCCCCAGGCCGTAAAGCCAGGAAGCAGAAGAGGTAAGATTCGACTCGAGTCCAGCTGGAGTCCAGCTGGAGCCCACAGTGGTCACCACCCTCCTGTCCCTGCTGCAGCATCACTTGTGTCCGTCCTGAACTGTGGCAGAGTCTGAAGTGAGGAATAACAAAGGGACTCTGTCCCTGAAGGTGCCAGGCCCAGCCCTGGTGGGGAGCTCCTTGTGGCTGCCTCCCTGGGCTGGGCAGGGTCCTTGTAAAGTGTGAGGGTCATGGGGCAGCTCTGCAAAGTCCAGCCAGAGGCTCAGGTGTGGTGTGCTCCAGGTGTGGTGTCACTGACACAGCCTGTCTTTCCCAGTGCTGTGGGTTTCCTGCTTCTCCTGGCATTAACGTGTTAAAGATAACAGAGGTCATAGGAGGGTTTGGCTACTCTCTCTGTTCACCCTGTGAGCTACGGAGGCCTGATCACCAGCACTCGGGGTGGCATCCGAGGCTCAGAGAGTTTCATGCTTAGAGCTTGATAGCTATTTGTTAAAGAAAAAAAACTAGCTTTGTATTGTTTGTACTTCTTAGTTTCCTACTACCTTCCCAGAGAGTCATGTAGTTACAGGAGTATTTGAGTTGCAAATGATAGAAACACTACTGGAACTGACTCATAGAAAGGGAAATCAGTAGCTCCCCCTAACTGAATTGATCAGCGGTAGGTCAGGCTTCAAGCGTAGCTGCATCCAGGGGCTCAGATGATGTCATCTCCCAGCTTTCCTTTCATCTGTTTGGGCTTTATCCTTTCTAGTGGCAAAAATGACCCCTAACAAGTCTAAGCAACGTTTATCTTTCTTGGATTCCAGTGTAGAGAGTCCTTTATTCCCAGTATTTCTAGCAAAATTCCCAGGACTGACTCTCATTGGCTTAGCTTTAATTATGCAACAGCTCTGAGCCAATCACTTAGTCCAGTAGGCAGGAATGCACTGATTGGCAGGCCCAGATCATGTGCCCTTCCTTAGAATAGGTTGGGGTAGGGGTTGTGAGCTTCCAGGGAAACGCACTGGCTGATGGTGGGGTATCAGGCAAAGGAAGGTCAGGGAGAGTATTCATCCTGAGGAATGGAAGCTGGGAGGCAGTTGTACAAGCTGTTCTCTGCAGAATGGGAGCTGACTCCTTCAGCCAGTGTGTTTGTGTGTGCCCCTCGCTCACTAGGTGTTGTGAGATGCAAAGGAAAGCCTTAGATGTAGATGCTACCAGTTAATTATTTTGCAGGTTTTCTTGAGCACCTACTGTGGGCCAGGCCCTGTTCTAGACCCCTGTGGTGGAGCTAGGCTTTCTCTTTTGTCCGTTGTTCCTTCTGTGTCCCCTTTTCCTTCCTTCTCTATCTTCAAGAAGCAGCTGGACTCTTGCCGTCTCTCATGTTCCTTCATAGTCTCCTGGGCATAAGTCGTCACGACCCCTGCTTTTTTTTTTTTTTTTTTTTTTTCCAAATCACACCTGTCCCAGGCGGGCTTGCAGGAGGACCCCTGGACCGTTGGCTTCCTGAGTGTGGGGCCTGCGCGGGATTGGTTTGAGCACCCCACACACAGCGTGCCTGCTTCCCTGAGGGCCAGCATACACGCGTGCTGTGATGGCCCCCTCGGCAGCCTCCTGCCACGTCCCTGGTATTGCTGAGTGCGCCGAGGTCAGCGGCAGCAGCGAGGGCTTTGGGCCCTCCAGACAGCATCTGGCTTCTCTCAGCCTTCCCATAGGAGTCAGATTTTCTGGGCTGCATCGCTTGGCCATCTCCCTGGAGAGCGCTGACTGCTTCCCTCTGGAGATGACCTGAATTCATGGCATACCCAGCAGGAAGATGCTACCTTCTCACAGCAGGGTAGTGAGTGGGCAGCCTGGGAAGCTAAGAATTTAGCAAAAGGGCATGGTTGGCCTGCCTCTGCACCTGGTGTTGTTTAGGGCGTAGGTGCGGGCTCCCTGTTTCATTCCATATCAGTCCCAGGAGGAGAGCGAGGCTTCACACTAAGACAAGTCCCCAGACCTGGAGCCCTAAAGGTAGGGACATTGGAGACTGTGTACCGAGTGCTCGGGGCCATGGAGCCAGACTGCCTGGGTGCAAATCGTTCCCAGCTCCTTAACCCCTGTGAGCCTCAGTTTCTCCATCTGTAAATTGGGGGCGCTAATCCTATCTAGTAGGGTTTTGTGGGGATTAAATGCGATGGCCCGTGCACAGGGCTTTGCATGGTGCTTGGCGCGTAGTAGGTGCTCAGGAAACATCATTTATCTTAGCCTAATGCCGAATGGGCACTGGAGCAATACAAGGCTCACCGGAGAGAGGCCAGTTTGCACAAGTCCAGGGTCAGTGATCCGCAGGAGATAAAGTCTTTGGAGCAAAGGTGAGTCTTGTTGAGGAGACATTTTTGGAGATGGCATCTGCTAGCGCTTTGCTCCCCAACTCAGAGGCAGCTGTCAGAGACTCACAACTTGTGAGAAGCCCACACCGGGGTCTTCAGGGACACTGCTTCCTCTTCCCAAGCCTCGGGTTCCTCATCTTGGAATGGGAATGAGGGAAGCCACCCGGCAGAGCCTGGTATACAGTGGGTACTTTATTAATACGTCATCTCAAATACGCTTTATTAATACGTCATCTCAAATGGGTTGCAAATAATAAAATGATGTTTGGGGAGCGTGGGGTCTGGCTGGTGTGGGCAGTGCTGGAGGTGCCTTTCCATGGAGTGGGGGGGGGTGTGTGGGAGGGCGTGTGCCCACCGGGCACTCTTCTGCCTGTTGGGATATTGAGTCCTGGCCATGACTGAACTTTTACTTCGTTCTCCATGGCACGCGGTACAGATCCGGACACCGTGCCTAGCAGTGAAGGGAGGTACGTGGTTAGGGAGTGGGGAGCAGGGGCCTTGGGGAAGGCCTAGGGCTTCATCCCCTCACAGCATCAGGACTGCCAGGTTCAATGGCAGTGGCTGAGCCTTCACCCAGCCTGGCCAGCCCCAGAGAGGGCCCCGCCTTCCGCTGCAGGGTTCCCTGGCAGGGGTGTGCCAGTGTTTCAGAGCTTACACCGCGGGCGCTCAAGTCAAAGGAGGGCTGCTTGTGAAGGCACAAAGGCAACCTCGAGAAGCCCAAGGCCAGCCACGTGGGGTCTGGCGCCAATGCTGGGAGCCTGGAGCAGTGCCCGCTCACTCCGTCCCGCCCCCTAGGAATTTCCGAGGATTCTCCCTAACTGCCTGCCTCGCCTTACTGCTCTGCCGGGGCGTCTGCTCTTGCAGGACCTTTCAATCTCTGAAATGCCTGGGAGACAGAGAATCGGATTGGTCCCTGCCTCATCAGTAGTCTGCAAGACCCTGGGTCAGGTGACTAATCAATCATCTGCGTGTGTCAGGGCGGGCGGGCTCCCTGTATGCAGTATGGAAGGTGGTTAACTTAGGGAAACAGACTGCCCCATCGAGTCCCCGGCAGGTGTTCCTCCTGAGCTGGCACCCCTGCAGGGACTGGAAACGTACTTCCTCTCTGGCAGCCCTTACGGTCTTTGATTTGTTTGAAGCATTCACTCACTGGTACATTGAGCCCCAAGTTGATCTCTTTGTAGCATCCACCCTTGGCCCGTGTCCTACCATTCGAGGATCTTACACGCTGAATCTATTTCCTCGACACGCCAACCCCGCTGACGTGAGAAGACAGCCGCCGTGGCACGTGAACCAGTACACCTTCCTGCACCAGCTTCCTTTCTCTAAGCATCTTTTTTCCCAGCCAGGGCAGAGCAGGTTGTGCTGCGGAAGTTGGAGGACAGGATGTCTTGCCGTGGTGCGCCCAGCTTGACTAGCCTTTGACTCTCATCTCCCACCCGGAGCCCTTTGTGAGGGCAGAGAGAACTTCTGGAGGCCGAAACTTCCCTTGCACATCCAAGGGAAGAATGTTCCCCAGACTGAGCCGTGTGTTCCTGGCTCTCCTGATGTTTCTTTAAGAGGACTCTGCGGGAGCCTGAAGACGTCAGGCGGGCCCTCCGGGCAGCAGGCAAGGAGAAAGGGAGCTAGGAACTCCATGGAATGCTCTTAGGGCAGGTGGGGCCGACACAGTAGCCTAGGCCAGGCCAGGGCTGTGGAATTGGGCTGCAATTCTGCACCCACCCCTGCGCTGACAGCTCTTAGGTCAGAAGGAGCCCCAGAGACATCCAGTGACAAGTTCACATACTCCTTTTGGGATCCGTAAACAGCGTACACGGCCAAACGAACAGCAGTCGCCTCTTGGCAAGAGGGTCCTGTCGACATCTGCCTGTAGCCAAGGGGTTACAAAAAGAGGAGGGTGGACCGAAAAGCAGTGCGTTAAATGCCAAGCCCTTGAAAAAGGAGATTGAATTTCTCTGCCTGGAAATGTTTAACTTGAGTCAGCCGCCTCCCTTCCAGACCAGGCCAGCCTGGGTTGGAGGTCTGGTTTCCGCCCCGCCACTTCCCCCAAATTAGCTCTTTGCAGGTGTGCGTGCAGAGCAAACGCTCATTTGGAAGGAGATTTATAGGTTTCTCCAGAGACAGGAGCAGGAACAATTTCCTGGGCAGCGGGGTTATCCTGGGTTAATTTTCATGATTATGGAAAGGATCTTAGCTGAAGACTCTTGGGCCCTGCCTGCCCATGGTCTCTGCTGAAATCCGTGCTGTCTGCTCACCTACATGAGGGCCAGAGGGCCACTGTCCCCTCGTCCCCTGCCTCCTGGGTTTGGGCTTCACCGTCTGGGGTCTCCTGGCTGAAGAGTAACCGGAGCTTGCATGGGGATTCCTGGAATGTCGGCAGCTATCAGTAGCTAGCCTGATAGCTGTGCCGTCTGCCACCAGGGAAGGAGTGACGTCACGGGCCTGGCTGGCGAGCCACCTGCAGTTGCAGAGGGACGGGACAGCAAGTCCACAGCACACGGGACTTTTTCTTGTTACAAGTCGAGTCCCAATGCTGCCACCTGCTCCTGGTTAGGACACTTGCTCCTGGTTAGGACACCTGCTGCTGGTTAGGACACCTGCTTCTTCAATCGGCTTATTTTCTGCTGCTTGGCCCAACCGTGGAAGCAGTTCTGAAGCATCCACAAAGTGCGGGGCATGTGTGTGTTTTGTGTACACCCGCACTGGGCCAGCCCTGTACACCCCGCCACACGTATCTGTTCTCCTTCCCCTCAGACAGCCTCAGTGATCCACACTGTTTCAGGTGTGTCAGGAAAGATGTGTGTGAAAGGCCCAGATATTCCAGGTTTGAAGTTTGTGGACTGGGGAGAAGAAAGAAGAAAGATCTAGCAGTTCCACCCACCAGAGTAGGGCAGGAGGAGGCTGGCTTATGAGAATAAAATACAGTTGACCCTTGAACGACATGGGTTTGAACTGCTCGGATCCACTTAGACGTGGATTATTTCAATAGTAAATGTTACACGACTGCACCATCTGCGGATAGCCGGATCCACCAGGATACGGAGGGCAGACTGTGAATTACACCCCGGTTTTCGACTGTGTGGACAGTGGGCGCCCCTGTCCCCTGAGTTGTTCACGGGTCAGCTGTCTATAGAACAACAAAAAGTCTCTGACCTGCCCCAGACCATTCACATCCAGTGTCACCGCTCTCATTCTGTTCGTTCCTTTATTCAAGCTGGACGCTTTGATTCCGCCATGGCTGAGCCTAGAACCTGCTATTCTTTAGTTGGAGTCATTTTCTCTTGGGGTGCGGGGGAGGGGCGTGGAAGAAGACGGCGTCCAAGAAAAGCAGGTTTGGTCTTGAAAGCACCTCTGGGCAGGGGAGCATGGTCCTAGGAGAGCCTCAGCCTGCTCTAAGGGTTCCCCTGCCCCAAGCTCATGCCCTGGGCTCACCTCAGCTCTGTGGGCGCTTCTTGGGCTTAGCTCGTGGGTCAGGGCTCTTCTAGGTGCCGTGGCACATGATACGCGGCTCCTGCCAGGAGCTGCTCCAGAAAGACCTAGAAGGATGCCGTTCTGTACAAGAGATTTCCTTGTCTGGGCTGACAGGGTCATTTGTATTCTCCGAGGATGACAGCCTAGGCTCTGGTCACCATCAGTGGAAATTCTGCCTCGCCTCTCTGTCCTCCTACTTATTTTTAAGACCAAGGGGCTGGGACACGGCTGTGTGTTCTGTCGAACTGGGGGTGAGCCGTGAACGCGTGCGCCAGTGTCGGTGGCGGGGGCAGTGTGGTGGTGGCGAGCCATGGGGTTTTTCCAACTTACATTTTTCGAATAGTTTTCTCCTCTGCACTCCCAAGAGGCTGTACGCGGAGTGCAGTAAGCGTTTGACCTTTGTGAAATGGTGGAGAGGGCCAGACAGACGGGGGAAACGTTTGGTGGCGAGCTGGCGGCAGCTCAAAGCAGGAATTCAAGCTGCATCTCTGCCTTTCTCAGCCCGTAAACAGGCGAAAGTGAGGGGGGCGGGTGGCAAAAGAGAGGGGGCTTCGTGCTTCCAGACTAGGATCTCGTGGGCCACTTCCTCAGCAACAAGCCCCCAGCTGCTGGGAGCCCCACTCGGGAGACCTCTCAGCAAGGAATGTTCTACCTGGAAGTTCAGGTCAGGTTTCCAGGAGAAGCCCCTGGGGATCCAGGGACAAGGCTGCTGGGCAGGGGCTGGTCTCAGAACCAGAAGGCAGTGGCTCCTGGGAGGGGGAGGGGAAAGAACCAGCTGGCACATAGCGCTTGGCCTGTGCCAAGCACGGTTCTTTTATGGGTTCGGTCCATGCGTGTGTCTATGTGGACTCTATGCGTGTAGTCACTCATTTCATCCTCACGACAACCCTGTAAGATGGGTACTGTTATTGCCCCATGTTACAGGTAAGGGAACTGTGGCAGAGAGAGGTTAGTAAGGGACTGGGACTCAAACCCAGACCAACTCGCCCCCAAGGTGTTTCCGGCCACTTAGACCACGCTGCCTCTCAGCCCAGGTGTTCAACGAGCATCTGTCAAAATCGGAAGTCAGATACGCGGCTTATGCGTTCAGGTTGCGTCTTCCCACGCAGGGAGAAGTTCTGTCTACAGATGTAGTAACTCAAGGACTTGAGTTTGCCCTCTTCATCCCACTGCTCTCCCTTCCCCCCCAAAAAAAACCCATTTTCTGTGTCTTGATTATATATTTGGTTCATAGACAACACTGCTGAAACTCCCCAGGTGAAATAAGGTCACTTTTCTAATTGATTTTGTTCATTTTAAATCCTGAAAGTTGTACTCTGATGGGAGGAGGGACACAGTCGTGGGGCCCCCATTGGTCCTACTTTGAAGTCTCAGAACCGGTGACTGCAAAGGCCTCTGGAGACTAGATGGACCACTGCAGAAGCAGGGGTGCCCCGGGCCCTTTGAACAGACTGAGGACCTAGGAGGACGGGAATGGACCAAACAGTCCAGAGAGGCAGGGGTGTACCCAGGAGTCTGCACAGGTGGGGTGGGAGGGACTCAGGGGGGACCAAGGTAGGAGAAGTGGGCCCAGGCCTCGCACACCTTAGAATCCCTGCGTGAGTTGGCTGAGGGCCATGCCTTGGGCCTTAGTTGGCTGCCCCTTAATGAGGACAATAAAACCCACCATCGTAATCTTGCCAGGGGTTTGGGTGATAAACATAAGAGGAAGAGGTGAGAGCACTTTGAAGAAAAAGTTAAAAGCACTGTATTCAGCTTAACAATATCAGCCGGAATGCAGGCAGCCTTCTGCGTGTGAAAAGGCCGACTAGTTCCACGCCGGGCAGAAGGCGTCCCGCCGGCCTCGCTCGCTGGTGTGCCTCGTGTGCTTCCACTTGAGCTCTGTCTGTTAGGATTTGGGGTTGGGGAGCCCTGGGGCACAGGAAAGAAGAGCATCCTGACAAGAGGTGTCGCAGGGGGAGCCAGGCAGCCCTGGTGACTGTGGCCCTTGGGCAGGCCTTGAGTCTCTGCACTTCAGTCTCATCTCTAACACGGGCATCGTGCCACCCTCCAAGGTTGCTGGGATGCGTGCCCAGCACGTAGAGCTTCCCCGGTTCCTGGGATGCCGAGCACGGCTCCTGGCCTTCCAGCTCTAGGTTGTTGAAGTACAGGCACGCCGGAGACCCAGTAGGGTTTCCTGTGACCCAGCCCACGTGGCCCGGCACTGCTGTTTCTCAGCCCAAGGTAATTTTTCAATTAACTCCATTGGCTGGAAACCGGGGCGCCCTTGGAGTGTGGGAAAGCGTTCCAGGCCGGAAGGGGCCTCTCCTCTGCCCCCGCTGGCTTGGGGCTTGGCTCCAGAGGGAGGATCCAATTTCACATCAGGACACCAGGACGTGATCCCAGTGCCCCTCTGAAAAATCCCACATGGCGCCTGCTGGAAGCCCCTGTGGGCTCTGCGCTAGCGGCTGGCCTGTCCTCCTCCCCTGCGCCCTGCAGGCTCCCCGACCCGGGTTCCGGCGGTGAGAGCCTCCAACGGTTTCATTGCTGACTTTATCGCTAAACAATTTAGAAAGGCGGCCCTGCCAGCTTTCATAAGTGAAGCATTTGAAGTATGCAAAGCATATTTTATTCTTTCCTGGAGCAGCTGCTCGGTGGGGCTGGAGAATAGTCAGGAGCGAGTTACATGGATCCGTGGGCCGCCCTGCAGCTTGCAGGCTCCGCGGCCTTGGGCGCCTCCCACTGCAGGAGCCCAAGACGTCCTCTTCCCTCTCCGCCCCCTCCGTGGGGTCAGGCATCCTCTCGATGGCATCGGAACTGGCTGCCAGCATCGGCTGAGGGCTCGCTCTGTGCCAGGCCCCTTCTTGTCACAGCAGCCCTGAGAGATGGATACTATCGTTACCTTCATGCCTCACATGAGGACACAGAAGTGATCTGCTGGGGCCCAACAGCTACTATAAAGGACAGAGGCAGGATTTGGTGCCGGAATCACTGCTCTTAGCCGTCACTGTGGTGGTTTTGTAGGTGAGGAAGTTGAGGGATGTGGAGGTCGAGACGTAGCAGGAGACGCCCATTCTTAGTTCGCCTTCTGAAGCCACGTTTGAGACAGTGAGTCCTCCAGGTTTGCTGTTTGTCCAGGTTGCCACCTGGACTTGGTTTAAATTCTTCTGAAAGCCCGGATCTGTTCGAGATACAGATCTGAAGATGCGGGAATTTCAGGCTCGCCGCCCTCGTGTGCTGGCGATGCTAGGAGAGCCCCGGCTGGGCCCTGGTCGCCCACTTCCCTTCTCTGTGTAATTGTTTACATCTGCGGGGGCCTTCGGCATGTTGAACATGTTTCGAAGCATTTAACCCCTGAGTTGACTGATGCCCAAGAAAGGCTGAGCAGAATGTTCCAGCCAAAGCACGTTTCCAGTTTGCTTCCAGGTTATAGTGGCCAGTGGCCTAGCAGTCAGGGCTGTAGATTCCAGACACCTTCCTTTGGGCCTCAGTTTGGCCGTCTATACAATGGGGATATAAATGTCTGTCTTCCCCCCAGGCTTCTTAGGAAGGTAGCTCTCCTGCTGGGAGCCAGGCCTTGGAGAACCCGATCTCTGACAAGTGGGACAGGCAGCTTCAGTCTGCGCTGTGCATTCTGGTAATGGGTGGAGAAGGAAATTGAGATGCAGGTGTTTTGCTGCTGACTCAGACTCGGGTGGGAAAGAAAGCAAGGTCCAGGCTGTCCCCCTGCGGTCGCAAGGCCTCGGTCAAGTTGCTTCCTCCTGGTTTGCAGTGAGCTTTGTGCTCGCCGCATGGATGGGCTGCCGTGTCACAAGTTGGTGGGTGTAACCAGTGCTGCGCCTTCTTTCTTTTTCCTCTTTGTGTTTTGGTAATTTTTTTCCCCCGGAGGGTGGAGAAGAGGGAGGAGGGGTGGGAGGAGAGAGTCCTGCGTGGTGAGGGCGGAGAGGGAAACAGGCAGTGCTGCCAGTGGTCACTGTCCCTCTCCTGGATTTGTTCCTTCAGGAGCCAAGCCTTGGGGACGGGAGAAGCTTGTGGTGAGCGCCAAGGCTGGGGGACCCGGTTGTTTTCACCAGAGTTCGAAAAAAGGCCCAGTTCCAGCCCTGGCCCACTCTTTGTCCTGGAGTTTAGTTTGAGAAATACGCACAGCATGGCATTTAGGGCTGGGCGCCTAGTCCAGTTAGGAACGTGAGCTTTGCAATCAGACAGACTTCTGAGTTGGGATCTGCTGTGCCACCAGGACCTGCTCTGTAACCTTGAACAAGCCTGTCCACCTGTCCTGGTCTCCGTCTCTCCACCTCCGTGTGCATGTGCAAAATGGAGAGAATGCTAGCACTGCTCCCAGCGAGAGAATTCAGTGGTCCGAGGCTTAGGGCCAGGCACATAAGTCAGCACCCAGACGGGACCCAGAGCCCTCAGGCCGAGGAAGGCTGCGGGGTCAGTGCTCGCAGACCTCTTCGGGTGGGAGAAGAGGAGAAAGGCTTATTCGGGTAGGAAAAGTCTGGAAATGGCCTTGAGGCAGAGCTTGAAAATTTGTGCCTTCCAGGGTTTCAACCCAGAGGGACTGGTCACTGCAGTCAAAGAAAAGCTAGAATTAAAGCACACGTGGGAGTAGGTGCTCGCTGGTTCTGTGGAGGTGAATTCCATTGTCCGTTTTGCTTGTGCGGTTTCTGCAGGACAGTGACACAGCTTAGGGTGCTTAGCACATAGCAGGTGGCCTTTAAGTTTCTGGGGATGCTGGGCACCCAGAAAAGGGTCCCTGACAGAAACCGTTTATCAGGATTCTTTTACAGTTGCAAGGGATAGAAAATGCAACTCAAACTGGCTTAAGAATGTGTTGGTTCACACAACTGAAAAATTCAGGAGTAGATCCTGGCTTCAGGTGTGGTGTGATCCAGGACAACAAGGATATTATCTGAATCCAGTCTTTGTCTTGTTGGCGCTCCCTTCTTGGTGGCAGGGTGGCCGCTACCGCCTCCTGGCTCCAACCTCGCATCCATCATTAAAGAGGGCGGCTCCTGGTCCAGACTCTGACCCTGATTGGACTGATTTGTGTCATGTGCTTCCCCTCCTAAACCAATCACAGTGGCCAGGACAACTCAGCTCTCTGATGGGCCAGCCTGGGTCTTATCTCCACCTTTGAACCATGGGCTCTGGGGGTGGGTGGCTCCCCAGAGGGAAATGGAGGTCCTCGTCTGAAAGACTGGAGGCATAGATGTCGGCTGAACCAAAAAGTCCGGGGGAGATAATGAAGAACTTTGAAAAGGTGGGATGAGCCAGCATCCCAGGGGAAGCAGTGGCTTTAAGGCTCAACTTGATAAGAGTGTTAAGATTCCTCTTTGCACCAAGAGGGTATCCCAGGACAGCTGCTGTCAGCCCACCCGACTCGAATGGGCCCCAGCTCGCTGCTTCTAAGTCCCAAGGGAAACTGTGTTCAATGAGGGCCAGGGGAGGCAGCTGGCCCGGCCCTAAGGAGAGGCCAGCCCTTTCCTCTCCCATCACTCCTGCCCAGCAAGCAGATAGGAGCGGGCTCCTCAAGGCCCCCAAGGAGGCCTGGGCACCTGGCTTTGGGACCAAGCAGTCACAGCCTGTCTGGGACTCAGCCGCCCTTTCCACCCCCAGACAGATGCTGTATTTGGGGGTGCACATTCCTTCTGGAGCTAGAATCACCCGCTGAGTGACTGTTGCAGACCCCCGAGGACCGTGGGGCTCCTACTGGCTGTCAGTGCATGGTGACATCAAGCCACACGCCCAGAAAGCCTGCCAGAGGCTGTCCTTTCCGGGCTTGGGGAGCAGTGGACACAGGAAGCGAGGACCTCCAGTGACAAAAGGGCACATTCTAGGAATCAGGCCAGGCCGCCTGCAGGGACCACGTTCCATAGCGCAGATCCTCAGGTTTGGCTCTGCCTGAGAACTAGGGAGCTGCGTGCTGGAGGTTGGCGATGCCTTCACTTCCCCAGGCATCTCTGCTTTTGAACCTGAGACTGGCACCCTTCCAGGGCTGGTGCCTGGCACACGATTATTCCTGAGTCAGTGCTTGGCGAGGGATGGTCAAAGGACGCAGACCCCTTCCCGGAGAGGATTGGATTCCCGGGATGTGGAGCTGGGTGGGCAGAGCTTCCCGTGGGAAAGGCGGGCCCCCCCAAGATTGTGGAAAAGGATTAGCTTGGCAATCGGGCCCAAGACGAGTCTGGCTGAAAGGTATGTTTATGGGACAGCTCTGCAGGAAAGACGGGTTAAACAGCACCTAAAAGAGAAAACAATTACTGTGAAATACGAGAAAAAGACAAAGCCTGCATCACCTGGTGCCTGCCAGGCCCTCCCCTACCCACCTGTAGTAAGAATTACCAGGCGGCTCTCCCAGGCCCTGGAGCAGCCTTGGAATTAATACTGCTGAGGAGTGCCTGGGCGTTGTTTGAGAATCTACTTGTATTTGGTGAGTGCTGTATTGTGTCCCGTCACCCCCAAAGCTTTCAGTGTCAGGACCACATGACAAAGGCCCAGAGAACACGGAAATCTCTAGCAAACCATAGACCTAGCTCTTGTCTGCCTGCCCCTGGCCCTGTTCCTGGCCTGGTGGGTGTGTCTCCACATACAGGGGGGATGGAGGGAGGGATGGGAGAGTCTACATCCCTGGGAGAGCAGAGGTAGACCAAGAGGGCTATTTTCAGCTCCCCACGCACAGACCAGGCTGGAGGGGAGCCTGGGCTGGGTGTGAGGGGACCAGACAAGCAGAAGGAAGTGATGTCAAGTCTTCCCTCCCCCATCTCAGAGGCCCGGCCCTGAGGCTGCTCTTCCCAGGCTACGGTTCCCAGATTTCTCTCTCCACAGACAAACCGTTACATTCAATCAAGTCCCACCTGGCTGGATGTCCCTGTGGAATCCCAGTCATTTACAAAGCCTCGAGGAACCTTCGGGGCTGAGTCTAGAACCGAGGGCTGCATTGCTGCCTCTGCTGCCGCTGCCCTGGGCTGTTTGAATCCAGCACTCCTGTCCCTCCTTGGCTGTTGGGTCAACTTAGCCAAGAGGTTCTGCGATCTCAGGCCTTCCAGGCTGGGGGAAGGATGCAAACAGTGGTATCTGTCCCAGGAGGGTTTGAGGGCCCCCTTGTAACTGCGGGCCCTGAGAGGACACATAGGCTTTGCCTGCCTTGTGGGGCAGCTGTACCGCAGGAGAAGAGGTCGAATAGAACTCAGTAGTGACCAGAAAAGACTCTGCAGCCAGACCACCCGGGTTTAACCACATGTTTTCTCCATGCCTCAGTTTCTTCTGTAAAGTGGGTGCATCACCTTGGGTTATTGGGAGGATTGAGAATTGATGGTGTGAGGATTTAGAACTGTTCTGGCATGCACGAGTGACTCAGAAAGTGTTACTGTTATCACCGTGATGATGATGAAGAATGAATTCAAGAACAGAGGGAATGCAACATAGGAATGCGGCTGCCTCTCTCTCCATGTGCTCCCCCCGCAGAAAGGCAGAACAGAGGAGGTGCCCTTAGGCCGCTGGTGAAGACCCTCACCCCCTCAGCCTGGGACGTGGGCTCTGCCAGCGACCCCCTCTCTGACTCTGCCTTTTCAGGACTCCCTTCCGCCATCAGGTACTGGCTTCTTGGGACACGAATACATCTGGTTCTGTTTAGTCTTGGGGCCTGGGAGCCCATCTCTTACGGGGATTTGATATGAATCATTGTACCTCAGTCTTAACATTTTAACCCTCCAAGAACCATCTGATTCCTAATTTTTAGAACAAGCATCATCCTAATGTTCTGAGACTACCACCTGGACCCGATTTGGCAGTGAGGACAGTAACGGCAGTCCCGGCAGCAGTGGTGGCTTTTGAGCGCTCACGGCCTGCCGGCCGCTGCTGGACCAGCCCATGGCGGGGGGCTGCACGACCCACAGGCTGACCTGGGCTCCGCCCCACACACCCCCAGCACCTCCGAGCTCAAGCGGGGTCACTACAGCCCTGCGTGGGTGTCATGAGGATCCGGTGAGATGAAGCCTGTAGGCCAGTGGGTGGCATCCCGCACAAAGTCGGGGCTCAGAACATGGCAGTGCCGTCAGCCATCGTCTCTGCCAGAAAGGGTGTTTGGACCAGAAGCGAACCATGACATCATTAAGCAGAGCGTCGTGTCACCTGGAAGTGACCTCCATCCGGCCAGGGCCAGCGGGGCATGGTCCAATTTGTCTGCTGCAGGGCAGGTATAGCTCAAGTGAACGGAGGTTGTCCACAGAGCCCGGGGTTGGACTCAGGCTCCCCTTTTCCTGAGGCCTGCTGGAGGGCAGGGGGCCGGTGAGCTCGGTACCTGGATTTGGGGGGAATATCTATAAAAGTGAGTGAATGGGAAGCCTGAACTATGTTACTGCTATATATGTATATATGTGTATGTTTTTAGGTATGATTTCCTACAGCAAAGTGCACAGGTTTTAAGGGTACCATCTGAGTTCAGAGAGTTTTGACAGATGTGTGTTTCGCTGTTTATTACCCACGACAGGCAGCCAGGGACTGTCACTCCAGCCTGCCCTCCCTTCGGAGCCCCCTGTGCCCTTGGTCCTGCCTTTGCCCTGCAGACTGGGTGACTGTGCCTTCTCTGTCATTTAATCCACCCCTTCCGGGTTGGGAGGCCCACAAGTCTGGGCTCCCAGGTTCTTGGGGCCAAGGCCTCTCCTCGGAACATCGGGGAGGTTTGCCCTTTTCTATAATAATGATCTTGACGAGCTCCATATGACCCCCATTTAGAAGCTTCTGGAATGTTTCCACTTAGATGATTACTTTGTTAAATGTTTACTACAGGCTTGGGAGACTGGTCTTGGCTCCAATTTCAGATAAACTCAGAGGTCACTTGTCCTAAGGTCAAATAGCTGGGAAGCGGGGGAGCCGGGACTGAGCCCCGGTGGCGGACCCAGACCAGCCTGGCCCACCTCCGCCCCACCCCGCACTCAGCGCCGTCCTTGTGTGGTGCCTGCCAGGAGCCCAGCACTGGGCTGGCGCTGGGCGTCAGGTGTGAGCAGAGCAGAGCCCCTGCTGGCTCCATGGCCACATCCTTCTCCAGGAGCTGCGTGGGAATGGTGCCCCGGGGAAGGGCCATGCACGGAGTGGCCGGCTCCCTGTGACCCACCTCCATGTGGGAAACAAAAGCAAGCCCATACCTGCTGGGGGGCACGCCTGCCTCCCCTGCCATCCGTCAGGGCAAGCCTGCGGCGGCCCGTGGAGTTTGTGGCCCTGTCCCCCTGCAAGACAGTACAGTGAGGGACTTCCCTGGGGGTCCGGTGGCTCAGGGTCCGCACTCCCAATGCAGGGGCCCCAGGTCAGGGAACTAGATCCCACATGCAGCAACTAAGAGTTCACATGCTGCAACTAAAGATCCCACGTGCCGCAACTAAGATCTGACGCAGACAAATAAATAAATATTAAAAAAAAAAAAGACAGTACAGTGCAAGAGTTTGGACTGGGGTGGGTGCCGGAGCTAGACCGCTCTGACTCTGCATGACGCTGGTCAAGTCACCTAAATCCTGTGCCTCAACTTCCCCACCTGTTGAAGGGGGTGATGATAACAGGACCTACTTCATGAGGTTATTGTGAGGATTCACTAGTTATCGTTAAGGAGTGTAACAGACTCACCACAGAGCCTGGAGCACATACCATGTGCTCCCGAAGTGTTAGCAAAGGAATCATTGTGATACACGGTGGTTACAGTATTATTGCTGTTCGGACCTTTGGCTTGGGAAGGCCAGACTCGTAAACCGGCGACTCACCGAGTGAGCTCCGAGCCTCTCGCTGCCTGTTCACGCATCCTGTTCTTGGACGGTGCCCCACAGTCTCGGAGAGTAAGTGTTTTCCTTTGTCTTCTTCCTCTCCCGCCCCAGCCCTGTGAGCTCACAAAAATTAAGCCAGGAAAGGACTTGTCGCAAAACTGGGGGCTCTTCCCCAGGGCTGGGAGCGGTCACCTCCCTCCTGTGCTGTGTGGATTCCTCCACAGTCCCCACCTCCTCCTCCCACTGCCCAGAATTCACAGCTGAGGTGGCCGCAGGGCAGACCCCAGAGGTGCTGGCCCTCAGCAGCCACCTGAACTTGATCTCAGCCGGTAGCACGCGCTGCCGTGCTTGGTTCTGGAGAACTGGTAGATCAGCAGGGAAATCAAAGGCTCTCCTGTGCCAGATGGCCCTGCCCAGCTGGTGCTGCTCCAGGTCTCGAGACACAGGTGCAGGGCTGAGCTGTGCTCGCCAGGCCCCAGGCTCTGTTCTCTCCCCTTGGCATCATTTTTGCTCCCTGTGCGTGTTGCCTCCTTGTTACAACGTTGCTGCCACAGCTCTAACCACAAGTTCACTTTCCAGACAAGAAGGCACAGAGGAGGCAAAGCCCTTTTTTCTTAAAGGGCAGTCTTCCTCAGGGACTTTCGCCTACATCTCATCAGCCGGAACTGGGTCACACAGGCAACTCTAGCTGCAAGGGAGGCCAGGAAATGGCATTCTAAAAATGGCGAGCACTCGCTGCTCTAACAAACAAAAGGAGATGTGCTACAGAGGGGCAGGGTTAGGGTCTCCGCAGCTCCCTCTGTCACCTGAGTAGGTAAGCCACACCCCCTTGCCCTTGGGAAGAGGCCTCTGAGGGCTTCCACTGTGTGGCCTGCCTCCTCCCCCCAGGGCAGCATCATTGGTAACTGCTGGCTTCCCCGGGAGTGGGAGAGCCGCTGTCTCCCAGGCAATGCTTACTTCCGGCTTCCATGGCCTAGAGCGCTGCCGGGTTTGTGGCTTCTTTGGCACCAGGCCCTTTTACCACCACCGGCCCCCTGCCCTAGGTCCGTGGTTGCCCAGCGTCGGCAGAAAGGTATGCAATTGATCTTTCCCTTTTGTGTCCCTGGGCCAGGGCCAGTGCGGTTCCTCCAGGAACATGGCTCCTTCCCGAGGAACATGGCTCCTTCCCCAGCAGCTCTCCCGCCTTTGGCACAAGGCTCCCTCCTGTCCGTGTGTCTGCAGCCCGCGCTGCACCAGGTGCTTCACAAACCCCGCTTCTTCCCTTCCCCACCTCGTGCCCCTGAACGAGCCCTGACCAGGAGCTCCGTGCCCCGACAGGGTGGTCTCTGTGCTTTTGACATGTGACGGGTGTGCCTGAGGAACTGAGTTGTTTGTTGTGACTAATTTACGCTTAAGTAGCCACGTGTGCTGGTGGCTGCCTCACTGAGCAGTGCAGCTGTGGACCAGAGCAGGGACCCCTGTCCCACCAAGGGGAGAAATGCACAATCGGTAGCATTCATCTAGATTCCTGAAGAGTGCATCCCTCTAAGGGCACTGATATTATGAAGGCCCAGAGAGGGATAGTGACTTGCCCAAGGTCACACAGCAAGGTAGCAATCCCTCTGAGACAGCAACCCAAGTCCTCCAACTTTCACTTCTTCATTGCTTCTGAGGAATGTGGTCGCTCCCCTCTGTGAGGGGAGGAGGAGTTGGGGGCACGAGGGCACACACAGCATTCTTCGTGCTTAGCACGTTTAAGTGTATTACCTGTGAGTCTCATTCCCATCACTCCCATTTCACAGGTGAGGCCACTGAGGCCCAGGGAGGGGAAGTGCCTGTGAATGGTCCTGAAGCCTGTAAATGGGCTTCAGTCTTGTGAGGCTCTCTGTGATTGCAGTCCCAGGGCTGTCACCCCTCTCTGCCCCTGGAAGGGTCCAGGCTGTGCAAGGTCTAGTCCAGCCAGGGCAGGTGCAGTTAGTAAGCTTGGACAAGGCTCTCTCTTTTTGTGGAGTTGTTTTTCCAGCCTGGTCTCCTAAGACTTGGTTCCTGCAGGACATGTACTTGGTATCCCGCCCTCCTGCTTCTTCAGAGCCTGACTCAAGGGGCGGGGCCTGGGTGTCAGGTACACCTATTAGCAACGTGAGCGCAGGAAAAATTTGCCTTTGCCACTGTTAGCTCAGGATAGGGGCACCCAGCCCCGTCTTGCTCTCGTCCAAGAGCAAGGGGCAGAGGAGGCTGTGCCAGGCTGCTCTGTGCCTTAACCTCCTTCCTGCTGTGAGATAATTTAGTGACACAGCCCTTTCTCATGATGGCCTCGTTTCATTGCAATGGAAGTAGGGTTGCTGGATAAAACACAGCATGCCCAGTTACACTTGAATTTCATATAAACAACAAATCAATTTTTAGCATAAGTATGTTCCATGCAATATTTAAGACATGCTTATACTAAAAATTATTTGTCGTCTATCTGAGATTCAAATTTAACTGTGCACCTGGGCTTTTTGGGTTTGTTTTGCTTCGCTTTGTTTTATTTTGCTAAATCTGGCAACCCTAAATGGGTGACACTGTCCCCAAGCAGTGTACATGGCAACTGAGAGCCGGAAACATCATGGGGCTTGCTCAGGGTCACGACAAGTCCCTGGCCAGGACTGGATTTGAAGCCTGGTCTCTTGGAATCCTCTGCCATTTGCATAGACAGCAAACAACCTCAGTGGCTTCCTCTGGGCAGTTTAAGGAAGCCCAGAAGTCATGCCCGTAAAATAAAATCAAACAGCCCTGGCTTCCACTTGCCTGGCAATGTAAATATAAACGGGGATGCTTAGCAGTCACTCACACCTTATCGTGAAATAACCGTTTGGTGACAGTTGAGTGGGGACAGGCCCCGGCAGGATGGGTGACTGGGGAGAGTTGATGAAGGAGGATGTCTTGGTCCGTTTGGGGTTGCTAGAACAAAAGTAGCCAGTGGCTTATAAACAACAGAAATTTGTTTCTTAAAATTCTGAAGACTGGAAGTCCGAGAGCCAGGCATTGGCAGATTCCGTGTCTGGTGAGGACGCTCTTCCTGGTTAATAGACAGCCGCCTTTTCGCTGTGTCTTTTGCTCCACCCTCATGACCTCCCAAAGGCCTCACCTCCAGGTACCATCATCACATGGGGCACTAGGTTTCAACATAGGAATTTTATGGGGACACAGACGTTCAGTCTGTGGCAGGAAGCAAGAACGAAAATTCCAGAGTCTTAAGGACTGCTAGAGACGGCGAGCCAGGGCTGGGGGCACAGAGTGGTGGTTGAGGTTAAGACCTTTTATGATCTGACCCTGTTGCACCTCCCCTGGCTTCCGTGCTCTTCCTCACCTGTTACTGGTCACGGGTTGCCCAGGGGCCTTTCCAGCCTTCTCGCCTTTGCTCGTACTGTCCCCGCTGCTCACTGCCCTGCCATCTTCCGAGGCCCATTTCAGATGTTCCTGTGCTCCAAGCACGTGCCACACCTGCTTTGCATTATGCTTACCTGTGTGTGCTGCTTCTACTTGCTGGAGATTTCTCGGGGCCAAGGGTGTTCCCTTCTTTTTGAACACCCTGCTCCAGGCCTGTCTTATAGGCGACCTGCAAATGTTTGTCTGGAATGAGGGCAGGGGAGGGGCCCCCAATGCAAACCTCCTACTTTGTAGTTTTGCTAAGAGACCTGGGCAGTTCCCAGCCCGCACTTGAGTCTGTCCATGTCAGAGCAACCAGGAGGTCCCTTGCAGACAGCCTGCCTCCCCGGGGTGCAGGTTTAGGTTTCTGCAGTCCGTGTTCACTGTGGGGTTTGGGAGCACCGGCCCGAGGGGGGGACCTGTCTGGGACCTTCACCCAGGGGTCTCCAGTGCCTTCAGCGGCAACTGGCTTGGGGCAGGTGCCCATGAACTCTTGCTGGGTGGACGGATGGCTGGAGGAGATCATTCGATTGTCGTGTGTCATCATATAGTATTCAGGGCACTTGAGGCCCCTCAGCGAATGAGCTAGAGCAGAGCTACCCGGCCTGCTCTCGGGGAGCCGTGCCCACTGGGCACGCACACGGTAACGCGTGGGTGGGCCTCCCACATTAACGAGGGGTTTGGGGTGCGTTGTCCAAACTGCTGTCAGAAGTGGACCACGGGTGAGGGCCTCTTTAGGGCTCTTGAGGTGACAGTAGGGCTGAGACTGCCCGACAGGGAGGAACCTGTGAAGAAGGAAGGAAGCTCTTCCAGCGGCTCTGAGGCGGGACAAGTCTAGCCCCTTCCAGAACTGCAAGTCCCCCCGCAGGTGGCCTGAGGGAGGCCTCAGATGGGCTGATGGGGCGGGAAGCCAGGGAGGGTTTTCAGTGCAGGAGTGAGGTGGGACGCCCTGCACTTCAGGCTTTTGTGGGGAGGTTGGGTGGGGGTCAAGGGGCTGGGAGGGCAGGGCGGCCTCCCCTTGTGCGGGTGGCAGCTGGACCCAGGGGGCCTAAGGGGAGGCGGTTGAAGTAGACGAGAGAACAGGGGCTGGAGCCAGTGCCGCCCTTCCCCAGGCTTCTGGGGGCGGAGGGACCCCGGGTCCCCGAGGCCTCAGCTCTGCTCCCCGTGGCCTGCCCCCCACCCCAGACCTGGCTCTGCCTTCGTGTCCAGGCTCCCCAAGGAGTGCAGGTTGTAGTGCCTTAGAGAACGCCGGGCGCTGCTAAGAGGGTCAGGCGCCTGGGGAGACGCAGCCCCCGTCTCACCGGCACTGAGCGCTCGCCGTGTACGCTGAGCACATGCCCTGGACCAGGCTTCCTCCTGCGTCTCAACCCTGAGGGTTAGACCCATTTTATAGAAGGGGCGTGTGAGGCTTAGAGGGGAAGGGACTTGCTCGTGATCACACTCCTGGTCAGCGAGGGAGCCAGACCGGAGACCCGGGACCTCGAAAGCCGTGCCGCAGCCGTGTCCTCTGACCCTCACAGGCGAGGACTGCCTCCCCTGCTACTATGGGAGCATGGGACAGGGTGGTGTCGGGGGGCGGCTGTGTCACTGGAAGAGCAGGGAAAAGGGTGTCACAGGTGGAGGGCCCTGCAGGGGCAAAGGCCCTGAGGGTGGAAAGAGCTTGGCCTGTCGCACAGAGAGGGACCAGCGTGCAGGAGGGTGGGGAAAAGGGAGAGAGCAATGTGTGAGCTTATGGTGCAAACCAAGACCAGCCGCTCCAGCGCCGGCTTCCGTGAGCATCTCAGAACCTCTTTTTTTCTTTTCTTTAACATCTTTATTGGAGTATAATTGCTTTACAATGGTGTGTTAGTTTCTGCTGTATAACAAGGCGAATCAGCTATACATACACATACGTCCCCATATCTCCTCCCTCTTGCATCTCCCTCCCACCCTCCCTATCCCACCCCTCTAGGTGGTCACGAAGCTCTGAGCTATGCGGCTGCTTCCCACTAGCTATCTCTTTTACGTTTGGCAGTGTATATATGTCCCCGCCACTCTCTCGCTTTGTCCCAGCTTACCCTTCCCCGTTCCCGTGTCCTCAAGTCCATTCTTTACGTCAGAAGCTCTTTTAATCGGTCTCTGAGTGAGGTGAGCATCTCGGCCTGGGTGTGCACTGTCCTGAGTAATACTGTCGCGTTGACTGTGCCCGGAGTCGACCAGGTCTGGGTTCACATCCCACCTCTGCTACCTACTCACTTTATGCCCTCGTGGAGTTTCTTAACCTCTCCGAGCCTTGACTTCCTAGTCTGTGAGATGGGGGTGAAGCATCCTGCCCCCGGAGGTTTTGGTAAAGCACGTAAAGCGTAACTGGGAGTGCTGCTGGCTTGGGACTGCAGTGCTGACCCCTGAGAGCCCTAGAGAGTGTGGTGGGAGGCAGGGAGTCCCGCCAGGCGTGCTCTGCAGACTGTGGGCGGGGCCCAGGACTGGGGCGGGGCCTCCTTGCCATAAGGTCGTTCGGGGGTTTTCCTACACATAGTAGGACAGGCCCTGAATGCAGAGCAAACAGGGAAAGCCAAAGCACCTTCAAACTGTCCCCAGAAAAGTGAGCGAGCGGGAGCCACTGTCCCCCGCTCTAACCGTGTGCCCTTCTCCCCTAGCACTGCTGCGGGAGGAAGTGTCCCGGCTCCAGGAGGAAGTCCACCTTCTCCGGCAGATGAAGGAGATGCTGATGAAGGACCTGGAGGAGTCGCAGGGCGGCAAGTCCTCCGAGGTCCTCGCGGCCACCGAGCTCAGGGTCCAGCTGGCCCAGAAGGGGCAGGAGCTAGCCAGAGCCAGAGAAGCGTTGCAGGGTGAGTGACAAGTGGGCGACAGCTCCCTCCCCTCCCTCGCCTGGGCCTCAGCTGGGGCCACAAGGACACCAGGAGCCAGGGTCCTGCCTCTGCAGGGGCAGTGACGTGGCCCCAGGAGCCTCCCGGCGCCCAGTCCCCAGCCCAGGCTGCCCCTTCCTTTTTGGGTGGAATCCTGCGTCTTGCTGGGTCGGGTACAGATGTCATTCCCTCCTGCGGTGTGACCGCCTCGTGTTCTCCATCACTGCCGGTCCTGGGGCGCCTCCTTCTGAGGTGTGTGAATGGCAGGTAGTTATCTTTGCTGAACGAGGATGCTGACCCAGAAGCTGGGTCGCCTCTTACTCAGCGCTCTCAGGGTCCTGCGGCGCCTCCCCTCACAGGACAGTACAGGGGTGCTGGGTTTTGTGCTGGAGGACACATCCCTCCCCCACTTCACTCGTGCTCACGGTGGTGGGCTCTCCGGGGGAGGGCTCAGGCCTCTTCTCTGGTTGCTAGCTCTGTAGGAGCTCCCCTCTAGGGAGCGCAGCATCCAGCCCTGGGTTGGGGGAGGAGTTAGGAGAGAAACTGCTTCAGGAGACCACTGGGCGCACGTGTCCGCTGCTTTCCTCAGAGCCGGCCTGGGGTACTGGCAGCCGGCATACCCATCTCTCCTGGGAGCCACCTGCCCACACTGCGTCTCACAAGGTTATTTGAGAAAGGTTGGGAGTCATCCCCTCCCAGTCCTGCAACGTGAAACGTTGGGGGAGAAAATATCTTGGGTGGGGTCTGCCTTGACCTCTTGAGCCCCGCTTAGTGTCTTTGATTCTCCTGGGGGGGGGGAGGGCAATAAAACTTGGCACCCTCCTTTCCACTTACCACTTCCTAGAACGATAAATACTCTCTCGATAAAGACTTCATTGCTGAGGCCAAAGCAGGTTTATTCCTTCGGTTGGTTTCGGGCTGCGGTAGCAAAGACCCCAGAACAGGGTGGCTTAAAGAATCTGTTTGTCTCTCTCTTCTGTAACAGTCCCAGGGGGCATTTCAGGCTGGTGGGCATCTCTGCTCCCCTCGGCCTGTGAAGGATCCAGGGAAAGGGCCAAAATTCAGGGTCAGAGATTCCCTTTGGCAAGAGCGTGGCCTCAGGGAGTGCTGGGCGTCCGTGTCCCAGCTACAAGGCTAACTGGGCGGGGAGGGAGAGGGGATTGTGCTGGATGGTTAGTCGGCCCTGTCCTTGTGGGTGTCCCTGACCACAGGTGTGAAGGGAGCCGCAGAACACTGGCTAAGCCAGCTGTCTGGCCAACACGCCACCACCCGTCCCCCCGGAAGCCTGGGATGCCGGTGCGCCCTCACCCGGCTGCGCCAGCCCCTCTCTGCGTTCTCCCCAGCAGTACATGTTACTCTTAAAGCTGGGTACACACTTTCCTGTTGGGGTGTTGTTTCCGGTGGGGCCACCTGGACAGTGTTCTGGGTGGTCTCTTCAGGCCGTAGCAGGCAGGTGGTCTGCGTCACGGTGCAGCTGACGCCGTGTGAGCAGAAGTCACTGTGCCAGGCACGCGTGCTTTCTCTATGCAACCCTCCTGCGGTCCAGGCAGATCTATACAAGCTCCCTCCACTCCCAGCTTCCCGGGGGCCTCGGAACATCCCCACCCTTCTCAGGAAGGAGATCCAAGTCTCAGGAGTCTCCCATGGGCACGTGTTGCTGGGTCCAGGCCGTGTGAGCTGACGTCCTTTGGTCTCGCCAGGTTTCACGATCCTGCAGAGTCGAGGCTGCCTCAGGCAGCAGCCAGACGCTGTCTCAGCCTCCTTTGCCGGTGTTCATTCCAGGACAGAGTCACCTGCCTTCTGTGTCCTGGGCCACGGAAAGAATTCTCACCTGTATTCCCCCTTCTGTACCTGGGAGGAGGAGGAATACCTCTCTCTGCTGTTCCTGTGCCCAGGGGTGTGGGCAGGGAGTGAGCAGAGGCTCATTTACCCACCGACTGCCCAGCTCCTGGAGCAGACGGCTCTCCAGACCTCAGTGTTCTGATCTGAGTGATGGGACAGTAACAGTGAATTAAATGCGGTCGTGTCTGTGAAGGCGGGAACCATGCTGTGCACCCTCGTCCGTTTAGCCCACAGGGCACAGAGCTATGCAGGCATTTCTTCCCAACTCTGTGCTGTACGATTTCTTATCCATCCGCAAAGGTCCTCAGGGCCTTGCTCAGGGACCCAGAGATCCCCCCAAGGCGACTGCTTTGTAGGAACAATAATCTCATCAACAAGGACTCGTCAGTATTCATTCAAGGAAAGCCTTATTGAGCACCTACTGTGTTCCAGCACTGTTCTATGCACTTGGTCTACCATTCATCCCACCACTCCTGCTGGAAGGTTTTAACCCCTTTCACAGATGGAGACAGCTGAATGAGGCTCAGGGAGGTTAAGTAACTTGGCCAAGGTGACAGAGCTAATTAGCAGCAGAGTCCGAAACTTTTTCCACTGCACTAAACACCTCATCTCCCCTCTGGATGAGGTCACGAGGGGTGAAGTTGGCCTGGACAAGAGAGACAGGAGGCCATCCTAGCTCAGTCACGGGGACAGCAGACTCTGGAGTCAGATCTGGGCATGAATCCCATCTCTGTCACTTACTAGCTGTGTGACCTGGGGCAAATTCCTTAACCTCTCTGAACCACAGTTCCTTTGCAGAAGGCAACAGTAACAATACCTACTTTTCTTATAATTGAGGCCAATAATAGTAGCTACTTCACAGGTTGTCATGAGGATTAAATGAGGTATAAAGTGCTTGGCCCAGTGCCAAGTACTATTAGTGCAAATACTTAGTGATTATCTAATGAGACAGGGCTTGGCAGGCTTCCTCAGATCTGTTTGGAGATGTTGGTCGCCTGATTCCCATTTGGGGTAGCCCAGACCTTAGACCCCCTGAGCCCATCTAAGTTCAAGGTAGCAAGCAACTCAACCATCCTGCCTGGCATTCTACAAAGTCATAAATAAGATGCTTCCTCCCCAGCCACAGCACATGGTGAGTAAATTGCAGACAGATGTGGGCAGAAGGAGGCTGGGGCATGAAAAGGGATTTCTATGCCCATAATGAGAAGGATGAGAATAAACGCACAAGCCAAGTACGCGGCAGATGTTGGGCAACACTTGTTAATAACCAGCGTCCCTGCGGTGGGAAAATGCAAAGCCCCCAAAGACTTCCACTCTGGCCAGTCCCCACCGGCCCACCCTCAGTCTTTGGTTTGGGGTTGGTTGAAACTGGAATTCTTCCGCACGTGAGAGGATTAGGAACTCAAGCAAACATGCAAACATTGATGGTTCCAACATCAAAGCAATGAAAAGAATCAAGTCTGGCGAGAATGGGGGTTTAGAAGTTTCCTTTGTTTCTGTGGGGACGAGTCTGGGAATGTTTGGTTTGGGATTTTGGTCTCATCGTGAGTTTAAAGGCAGAAGCCCTGAATGATTGTTTAATAAGGAATGGTGTCATCGCGTGAGTAAACTCACCCCAGAGTCCCCGCATGACTGCAGCCCTACACCTGTGGTGAGCTGGTTGCCCGTGGGACCCCTGTGGGGTGTCTTGATTTCCCCAGGCCCCCTCAGTTGCATTGATTTCTCCGAGAAAACGTGTCTAAATCTTCAATTTATTTTAAAAGGACAGTACTAAACCCATTGCATGCTAACATTATTTTTAAATGAAAATGACTATTTTCCTAAACAAAAAGATTTGAGGGAAAAGAGCAGCATTGTTTCACAATTTTGCAAAAATTTTTTAATGTCTGACTCCATAGAAGACTGCTGAGTTCTCGTTAACTACTCTTTCAGTCAGGCTACTATGATTTGTTGTTTTGGTTGAAAATCTAGCATCACACAGATGTGTAGCTGGAAGAGAAAAGAGTGTATTAGTTGCCTTATTAGATAATTATGCATATTTTCCTTTGACTTCATACTAACTCACCAAATGGTAGTTTCTTAGAGGTTTGCTGAGTGTGGAATTATCCAGTGAAGGTTTTGTGCTCTGTTAGGATGGACAAAACCATGGGTCTAATTGGTACTTTGAATGGCTATTGTACCCACACATGATTGTTTTTTAATCTAACATTGATCACTTGGAAAATATTGGTTCACTGAGCAACGCACATCCTCCAAATCTTGGCATATTTCAGTATCCAACATCAATAAGTCATATCTGTTAACATCACCACCAATCTCATTAGAAAAGTCTTTAAGTCTTGAGGAGCTGGTGAAATCATAGTGGCAGATCAGGTTTGCCCAAATTTGGATTTTTGCTCAAAAGTTCAAGTTTTATCACTGGCAACAAATACTGTCATTTGTTTTCCTAGAAGTAACAGGCTCACTTACTTCACGTGTTCACTTAGCTCAGTAGTTTGCCAGATACTATAGTTTGTACGTTGGTCCTTCTTTCAAGTACAAATGGTGAGCTACGAAAAAGTGGCTAGTTTAGCTGGCAACTCAAACAGTTGCACACATAATTTTCCTTGAGACAGCCATTGTACTTTGGTATGCAGCAAAAGAACTTTAAGTGTTTTTCCCATTTTATTAAAAAATATGTACTTGGGAATCAAGTTTTAATAGAATTAATTATTTTTACAGCTTCATCAAGGTTATTCTTAAGTAAAACTCTCCTCCCCCCCTTTCTTTCAACTATGAGTACATTGTGTAAAGAACTCAGTGACTACTAATACAGTTTGATGCCACTGTTATGATTTCTGCTAAGATGTCAGCATTTTACCCAGCATTGCTTTTGCACCAGCATTGCAAATACTAACACAGTAAAACAGGCAAATAATGTCAGAGTGTTATTATGAAAATAGTTTTCCTCTTGGACCCCCTGCAATGTTATTGTTGGTGGTAGTGGTGGTGACAGCTAGCATTTTTAAGCACTTTTTATATGCCACACACTTTAGCTCCTTTAATTCTCACTATAAGAGTATGAGGTGGGCTGTCAATGTGCCAAGATTACACAGCAGTACCTGGTTAGGGCCAGGTTCAGAGCTCAGCAGGGTGGCTCT